CTCTGCGGGTGTGTGGCTCTGCGGGTGTGTGGCTCTGCGGGTGTGTGGCTCTGCGGGTGTGTGGCTCTGCGGGTGTGAGGCTCTGCGGGTGTGAGGCTCTGTGGGTGTGTGTGACGCCGTGGCTCTGTGGGTGTGTGACTCTGTGGGTGTGTGACTCTGTGGGTGTGTGACTCTGTGGGTGTGTGGCTCTGTGGGTGTGTGGCTCTGTGGGTGTGTGGCTCTGTGGGTGTGTGTGACGCCGTGGCTCTGTGGGTGTGTGACTCTGTGGGTGTGAGGCTCTGCGGGTGTGAGGCTCTGCGGGTGTGTGTGATGCCGTGGCTCTGTGGGTGTGTGACTCTGTGGGTGTGTGTGACGCCGTGGCTCTGTGGGTGTGTGGCTGTGTGGCCCTGTGGGTGTGTGGCCCTGTGGGTGTGTGGCCCTGTGGGTGTTGTGGCCCTGTGGGTGTTGTGGCCCTGTGGGTGTTGTGGCCCTGTGGGTGTGTGGCCCTGTGGGTGTGTGGCTCTGTGGCTGTGTGGCCTCTGGACCTTTTCCCTGCTGTACAGGTTTCTCCCACAGTCCAAATTGGTGTGTCACAATTTTCCAAAGTTGTCTATTTTTGTGCGTGTGCGCATGTTTGCATGTTTTGCGTGCATGTGTGTACGTATGTGTGTGCATATGTGCTTGTGTGTGTTTATCTTTATGTGTGCATGTGCCCCCCTTCTGATTGACTGCCATCCTGGGTGTACCCCAGGCTTGTGCCTTACACTGCCACTGGAGGGTGGCAGGGCTGCTGTGATCCTCCCCAGTGTAAGTGGGTGGGGCATGTTTGTCATTATTGATTAGTGTCTTTTTTTTTTTTTTGGAAATCCATCCTATTGACATGTTACTGCATGAGGTCTTCCCTGTGTCAGACCCTGTGAGTGCGAGCTGAACGCTGGGTACAGATGCCCTCTCTCTCTTTGGGTTTCAGGTGGCTGCTGCACCTTGGTGGCTTCCTGTCCGAGGGGCAGACTGGAGGCACCCAGAAGGCCCCGACTCGGACATCGTTGGCAGGTGAGGCGGCCCACAGTGCTTCGCCGTAACCACTTACCTGTCGCTACACCCTGTTTTCATAGGCAGGTCAAAGGCTGCAGTACTAAGCTGCACCATTCAGCATGTAGCTTCCATTGATATGCAAGAATACCCATGACCACTGTCATGTAGGAAAGCTTACATGATGAACCACCTCTTTGCTGAACGCTGTTTCCTGCAGTCAGCTCTGTTCTGTTGTCTCATTGTTGTCCTGTAATTAAATTATAATTTGCCTCATATGATTAGTTTTATATTTCATTGTCATGCTTTCCTTTGCTGTGTTTTGTAACTTAAAATATATGTATTGTTTTTTTTTCTACCGTGAAATTTTATATATTGATTAATAATAATAAATGTTGATAACAAATGATGATAATACATTATGTACATACATTTACTGTTCCTCTTGTCTTCCACTGTCCTCCTTGTTGGGATCATCCTCCTTCATTCTCTGTTCTTCTCCAGTACTTGCTGTGTGAATCATCCCCTCTCTGCTCTGTTCTTCTGAATTTTCAGCCCCGGTGTAGGTCCAGCTTTCCCCGTGAAACGCTGAGTCACTGCTTGTGCTGTTGTCCTCTGACCGCTGCAGGCTAGATCATCCTGTGCTGCATGTGTCTTGGAATGATGCTGTGGCTTATTGTACGTGGAAAGGGAAGAGACTGCCCACCGAAGCGGAGTGGGAGTGTGCCTGTCGTGGGGGTCTGAAGGACAGGTACGTCTCTGCCTGTGTGTGTGTGCGCGCCTGTGTGTCTATGTCTGTGCGTCTGTCTGTGTGTGTGCGCGCCTGTGTGTGTGTGTGCGCGCCTGTGTGTGTGTGTGTGTCTATGTCTGTGCGTCTATGTCTGTGTGTGGGCTATGTACAGTATATGTTAAATTGTAGGGACCAAATGTCCCCACAATGTGATAAAAACCTGTTATTTTGTTGTTGTGGGGACCATTTTTT